CAATCAGTCAACGACACACACACACATACAAGGCTATCTACGCTATCCAGCCTTAATTTTGAAGCTATAAACTAGAGAAAAAGCAATCAGTCAACGACACACACACACACACATCTATAATTTTAGGGCTACTCTTGTCATGCCGAATTCGGATAATGAGATTTGACTGTTACCCTTATAACGTACTCAAGTGTGAAACGCGAAAGTGTAATTTTTGGCAATAACGGGACGCGAATCACGGACTTCAGTTCCACTCTAACCACTGCGCTGGACTTGGCCCATACTTGAGTAAATAAGAGTGCTTTAATCATTTTTAAAGCAATGTTTATGTGTATTATAGAAAACGTTCTATATATACATTTTATTTAATATAACAGAGAAGGTAAATAAATCATTATGGGCAACATCTTACGTGTTCAAACTGTAGCCTAGTCAATGAATATAATTTTATAAACTTCATTTAGTACGGCGTATCTCACTGTAAAAGATATCCAACTACTTTCCCTTGTAAGTAAATCAAAGATCTGGTTTTCTCACAAAGAATAGTCCTGGACTACACTTCATATGACTTTAGATGAATCGTGAAATGAAAGACGAGATAAATCAGTGATTACTTTCTCGCAACAAATGAGCATTGTGCCACCTGGTAGTCATATAAAAAAATTAATTACCTTCAAATCATGCATGTTATTGTAAACGGAGATTGTTCTCCACAGAAAACATTAAAACCTGTCGTCTGCTTTCAGGTCTTTCATATGCCAACACTGTTGTGTAATGAAGCAACGATAAAACTTTCAGACTCACGAATTCACACTGTTCAATCATGGTGTCCCTCACGAATTCACACTGTACAATCATTGTGTCCCTCACGAATTCACACTGTACAATCATTGTGTCCCTCACGAATTCACACTGTACAATCATGGTGTCCCTCACGAATTCACACTGTACAATCATTGTGTCCCTCACGAATTCACACTGTACAATCATGGTGTCCCTCCCGAATTCACACTGTACAATCATGGTGTCCCTCACGAATTCACACTGTACAATCATGGTGGCCCTCACGAATTCACACTGTACAATCGTGGTGTCCCTCACGAATTCACACTGTACAATCATGGTGTCCAACAAGTTGCACCAAAATCTTCTAGTTTCAGATATTGTAGCTCAAGTTGCATATTTAAATCTTTCTAATATTAATTTTGGAATTACCTAATGTTGTAGCTATCAGATCCCTCCAAGTGGCTCAGTGGTACGTCTAAAGGCTTATAGCACTATAAATCGGGTTTCGATAGCCGTGGTGGACACAGTACAGATAGCCCTTGTGCAGCTTTGCGCTTAACAACAAACAAAGCTAACAGATATTGCCAGATGAAACCGCTGGTATCTATCTATCTAACTATATGTGAGTTAGTTTATCACTCACGTGACGTGGTTCTAATGACGCTTCTTTGAAACTGATGATATTTCAAGATGGGGAAATTGTAGTTTCGTCGTTAAAAGTGTTTCCAAGTTATAAAATCAATACACTTTACTTACCAGTTGTAATACTTTTTACGTGTTTTCTCTGCTCGAATAACACTCAGATCTTTGGATCAATAAAAACTTCCAGCAGTAAGGTTGTTTTACAACATTTCAACAAGTAGAGTGATTAAAACCATCATTGGTCTCAGAGAGAGCATATTTAGCAATCCCAGGAGTTGGATGCCATAAAACTTAATCTCCTGTGAACAACTTGTATAAAAACGTAGGTCGTAACGAAGCCGGTCTGATGTCCACCCTAGAAATTATTATCCGTCAATCCCTCACTCACGTGACGAGATGACCTCACCAACAATATATTTTATAAATCATGATCCTAATCAGCAATTGTCTAAAGTAAGCAGTAAATGTAACTATGTTTAATCCGATCGTGTAGTTACGTTAGTTACCAGGCAGTCAAGGTTTACGTTCTGCCTTAAGAATAACATGATTTGTAGGTTAAAATCGACGCTGTTCCTTTACGTGAAAAGTTTTGTAAGGGAAACACTAAAACGTATACTGTTGAAAAATCTTTCTGTGTTAAAAGTTAAGTACTTGAAACGTTTTCTGCTTTATTGTGATGTTTGATATTTTAAAGGTTTGCCAACCTAGAAGTACTGTCAAAGTGTTATTATGATTCATTTTGTTTGTTTCTGACATTATTATTATTATCATATTTCTGTTGCTGCACCTCACCGCCCCATACACTCCCAGTAGCTTAGCGGCAAGTCTGAAGGCTCATAACGCTAAAAATCGGGTTTCGATATCCATGATAAGGCACAGCATAGATTAGCCCATTGTGTAACTTTGTGCTTAACACATTATCATTTTTATCTGTACTTATATTTCTCGAAAATAGATTTTCCAGTAATCAACTAAATTCGTGCATATCATAACGAGTTTATCTTGAACACAGAATAATCTTTTTCTTTTTTACCTTTTTGATTTTTTGTTAAAAGCTGACGTTTGTGGTTATTTTAAAAATACTTAATGACACACGTATTTATGTGTTCAAATTATCGTACGATTTGTGTGTTACACAATAAATTCAAAGTTGACAAAATTACTGTACATTTTAAAAACACTCCCAGAAGTATAGTGTATAAAATACTATGATTTAAGTAACTTTGTCCCTAAATAGTCATTGAATTGAATTAGGAGAGACGAAATATTGCTACAGCGACGCCCTCACAAAATGGTTTCTGGAGGAAAAGCGAATGTGAAAATGTTCAGCTGAAAAATACTTGTTTGGAATATTGTTGAAGACATAAGCAAGATCTGAATACACATTACAGATTAGAACAAATATCGTAACACACGTTTCAATATTGTTTATTACACGATCATAAAAATTTTTTTCCAGCGTCATATTCTTTTGTTTTCCTCGCGGTTATAGGCCTAACAAAAAATTACCACACACACACTCACACAACTATCGTTCGCTTCTGTTGACTGTTTGTGCATCTATTTGTCCGCCTGTCTGTTCTTCTGTCCGTCAGGTTATTCATCTATCTATGACTAACAAACATTCTTAACAGCTCTTAGGCTTATGTTTCACCGAACAATTACGCCTAATTATAACGCTAACACTGATCACTCTTGTATAGGTTCATTTCACTGGATCTCTTGTTGCTACCATTGTTAGGGTTAGATTAGTATTTTCATTCTATGCTCATATAACGCTCGAATTAGGATTCGATACCTAGGTTGTGCACAGCGCAGATTACTTAAAATCAACAGGTCAACATTGCTAAAAAAAATTAAATAAATTGTTACTCACCTTATACATTAGCATTAAATTATTTAATCCTCATCAACGAATAAAGAAGATAATAGTTAATGTTTAGATAATCCTGTATTAGTCTACTGATAAGAAAGATAATAAGCAAATTACATTGAATCAAAGACGATTCAGTTATTAGTCATAAAACAAAGACTTTTAGTACTTCGTAGTTTGTCAGAAACGTATAATGTTCGAATTGATTACAAAGTATTCATGTTTTTCTTTTGCGTTTACTTAATTCATAAATGGATTTGATGTTTGATTACTGCAGTTATTTACCTACACGATAGAGGCGCTTAGAATCGACCAAAGCACAGACTATCCTCCTTACAATTGTGGAGTCCCGTCGTAGCACGTTAGTCAGTGCGCAGTCCAAGTAGCATTCCTTCTAAGATATCCTTCTGACAAATTTCATTGTTTCATCAGTGATGAATGTCATTTAAAAAACGTCCATTGTCGTATTTTAGAATACTGAAAAATTTCATTGTTTCATCAGTGATGAATTTCATTTAAAAAACGTCCATTGTCGTATTTTAGAATACTGAAAAATTTCGTTGTTTCTCTCTCTCACGTCTAAATTGTGACGAATTTTGTCAGTAAATATCATCAAACACATTTCTTATTGCATGCTACAAAAGATCGCTCTTTCACTTTTTGTTTTGATAAACTCAGAAAACTCTTTTAAATCTTCATCTAGTGATCGTTCGATTTTCATACAGATAACTTTCTTTTTTTTTCTAGACAAACTCTTATCGGGTATTACGATATTTGTTCGTTCTGAGTGCATAATTAATTAAATGAACTGGTTTTCATCTAGTAAGCTGATATTTTGTTTATGCTGACTGGGTAATAAAGTGAGTTGTTTTTCATCTGGTAATCCTACATTTTGTTCATCCTGTGTGGGTAGTAAAGTGAACTGGTTTTCATCTAGTAAGCTGATATTTTGTTTATGCTGACTGGGTAATAAAGTGAACTGTTTTTCATCTGTTAATCCTACATTTTGTTCATCCTGTGTGGGTAGTAAAGTGAACTGGTTTTCATCTGTTAATCCTACATTTTGTTCATCCTATGTGGGTAGCAAAGTGAACTGGTTTTCATCTAGTAAGCTGATATTTTGTTTATGCTGAGTGGGTAATAAAGTGAACTGTTTTCATCTAATGGATCGCTAAAGGGCGATTGGTCTGATGTGAAAGAGCTCAAGAATAGTAAAAATAATACTGGTAACAATATCGGTCAATACTACTTTATGAATTGACCTGTAATGTCATAGGTCAATAATAATCACAAAAGCAGTTATCTTTCAACTGCTAATACCACTTTCTTGTAAACAGTTACGAGGCTTGGGTTTATTTTTTATTTCACTATCTAGAAGACAAAAATTCTTTTAGCTTCGTTCTGAAAACATAATGCTGAAAAAAACAACTTTATTTTTCTTTTTTTCTTCATCGTATGTTGTTTGCACGCAACAAGTCCTCGTTTCTTCATATAAAATACATTTGGAAAGTTCAACTCATAATGAAATAGGATTGAAACTGACTCTTGTGGGCAATCTATCCAAATAAAGCAGATCTTCTCACTCCCGGATTCTTGGGCAATAAAACGTCAATCATTTATTAAAGTTGATTAAATATTAATATGGAGCACACATGATCATTTATCTAGGCCTAATGTGTACAGCACTGGCGCCTTCAAGAGTGTCGTAAATATCGTACGAGACGAGAAATTCCCGGAGTTATTAATGAAAATATATATATCGAGATTGAATGTCCTCTCCAAAAAGCTACGATAAATTAGCGCCAATTCAAGGTCTACATAGCATTCATTACTAAAATTCTGATAACAGTATATACATAACCGTTTAGGGCTAATCGTTGAATTCTTTATTAACCAGCTACTTTCGTTGGCTTTGATGAAACATCAGTTTGATATTATTAGTTTGCGGATACTTTTGTAATAGATTCATTAGGCGGGAAAACGAAGTCTAGTTAAAAACAGAATCACCATAATAAAACGAAACAACGTGTTTAATCTTCGGACGTTTCAGAATTCACAAATTCTATCATCAGCAATGCTTAGGAATTTGGGTTGTGATCGCGTTAACCCAGGTTCGAATCCTTGTTACGGCACAAGGTTTTTCATTTTGACGATACTATTTTACAAAAAAAAGTAACAACAACAACAACAAAAAAAGGTTACCCTAATAACAGCATATAGGACATACGCACGAGTAATATATTACAGTGTTTACTTCAAGTGTTCAACTAAGTGTTTACTTCAAGTGTTGACTGCGGTACTGAAGGTTATTGTTGTTGTTGTTGTTGAGGTTAATGGCACAAAACCTGCTGGGAAATTTGAACCAGAAACGTACGCTTACACGACAGATGTGTACTTACAATTAGGATTAACCCATTGAATGCAGATTTGCCCGATAGGATACGGTTCGCTTCCGGCGGTTGAATGCGAGTGTGCCGTATACCGTGTACGGCTTGCAAAAATTCCGCACGCACTTGGAGCAGCCGTAGTCAATGGGTTAATAGTTATCAACCAAAGAGGCTACCATATATTACCATAACAACTATTGTAAACCTTTTAATATCAACCAAAGAGGCTACCATAACCATATATTACCATAGCAACTATTGTAAACTTTTTTAGTTGCTATGGTAATATATGGTAGCCTCTTTGGTTGATATTATGGGGGTCAAAGCGCGCGCATTTCATGACCTTTTACAGAATTCCATTCTATGATATTATGTATCTAGTGTCAGACTTGCAAGCTATTCATTTTACTCTACATTGTTCACTTAGCGACAGT